TCGGATTGTGACAGGCCCACTTCTTCTCGGGCGGAGGTCAAGGCCGGGTGTTCGCGAGATAAATGCTTCGTTAGCCCAGGAAGCGAGTGGCTCCGGTGCCCCACCACCTCCAGTCGTCCGGGCCGGCGCCGTACTCTAGATCCGGGTTTCAGCAAACGAGCATGCATGCTGACACTTTGTGGGAAGCAACACAGCGAAATTCAGCGCTCATTTTTTGCGACTTGGACGTTAAGAAGCTCTGCAAAGTAGCAAGAGTTGGAAAAAGGCCACGGACTATGTCCATTTGAAAGAAAATATGTACCTCGTCGTAAAAGTCGACGGTGGATAGTAACTTAGGTAGGTATACACAAGAAAATATGTGAAAAGTGTGTGCTATATACAGCCAAGGTGTTTTCTCCGTAGAGATTCGGTCCCTCTTAACCTCCAATCATCCTCATTCGCGGCATCAGCCTGCCAGACTAGAAACAGCCTAGTACACGGCGGGAACGAGTGAGTTGACGTAAATCTCGAGGTTCGCATACCCGCCAGCACCAATCTTCATACCATCCGAGGCATCATTGGGGTTCAGGCCGTTTGCGGTCTCGTAGTCGTCGGGAATTCCATCGCCATCGGTGTCCTTCTTGGCCGTGCCGGCCGCGATGTCGCCTGCGCCGCCCATGTCGGCCTCATCAGAGATGAGCTTGCCTGATTTTCCGTATGAGAGGAGTTCCTTCACCAAAGCGGCATCGACGCTATCACGAGCGATGGAGGCGCCGACCTTGGCCGCAACGTGCGCGACGGCGTCGGCGGCGGAGAGGAGCTTCGCGGGAGCAGGGTAGTCAAAGGCGGTGGTCTGGATGGCCATGTTGGAGTAGCACGTTGTCGAGACGCAGAGGGCGGCGCCGTTGAGCACGCCGTCCTTGTTGGAGTCGTAAAAGTTATCCTTGACATAGCCGCGGAAGTTGGCGTTGCCACGCGTGAAGGCCGTGACGGAGGTCGAGGGACCAGAGATGAAGTAATTCTGGATGATGTTCGCGTAGCTCGCGCCCTCGGAGTCGCCCGCGATATAGCCGCCGCCGCCGCCCCAGTTGTACACGGCATTGTTGATGAAGGAGTTAACGCCCTTTACCTTGGGGTTGCGCGTCTTGTTGTCGATGTAGAGATTGCGGAAGAGGGAGACGCCGCCCTCGTTTGTCTGCATGAGCCCGCCGCAGGAGTGGGTCTCGAGCCCCTGGCCGATGATGGAGTCCGCGATGGTGACGTTGGAGACGTCGCCGTTGATGGAGAAGGTTTCGTCGCGGCCCCAAGAGACGGACACGTGGTCGAAGATCATGTTTTTGCCGTCGGCGATAGTGATGGCGTCTTTGCCTGAGTCGCCGCCCTTGCCCATGCGGATTCGGATGTAGCGGACGATGCCTTCGTTGGCGTTGGACCAGGAGAAGCCGTTGCCGTAGACTGTGATGCCCTGTATTGTTTTTATTGGTGTTAGTTGCTCGTCGTCATGTTGCGTTGAAGTTTAGATTCGGTGGTCACTTACACCGCCAGGAGCTGTCTGTCCTGCAATGTAAACGTTCTTGGACACCACGATCCGGGCGTCAATCTTGATGACGCCGCCTACGTCGAATACGACGATTCGGTTGGGTTGAGAGACGGCATCACGAAGAGATCCCGTGCCGGAGTCACTATATCACAGAACAAAAGTCAGAGAGAGTCCTAATTTAGATACCCGGGGCTGTGTGGTATGAGTGCTTACTTGAGGTTGGTAACCTTGTACACCGTTCCAGTCCGACCACCAATCGCATTTCGGCCGAACCCTTCGGCGCCAGGGAAGGCTGAGGGAGCGGCGTCGGCACGTTCGACGACCTTGGCCGGAGTATTGGCAGTACCGGTCCAGCCGACTGCGGGGAGGGCGGCCGCGCCTTGGTAAAAGATGGCGGCCGCGGCCAACAATGTCGCGGATGCCTTCATGGTGTGTGTTGGATCGTTGGAAAGTGGGAAGGTTGAAGCGAGTGGTGGAGGGCTAAAGTGAAAAAAGGCGAAACGGAAGCGAATGTACCAGACAATCTCGAAACCAAACAAATGGGTTTGGATAGAAAAGAAGCTTGAAAAGAAGCTATAACAAGGGGGAAGCCGAAGGGATGGAATAGATGGAACGGCACGCGTAGCAAGATAGTGACGAGATCTCCAAGACTTCAAGAGGAGAACCCAGTGCCAAAAATGGGACGAAAAAAGGGGTCCCGGGTTTAGTTTTGTAAGTTTCGTTTCTTGGTTACTTGTGTAGCACTCTTGATGGACAGCTTCTTCGCGGTGATGATCCACCGGGATGGGTGGGTGGTGTGGTGGTTGCTCAGGGGTGGTCTATTGCTTGTCACCACCCATCCCCATGATCCATTCCGCCCTGTCAGTTTACGGGAAATAGAAAGGGGCGTGTACGCACATGGGGACGGGACGGAGGTCAGCGCCTGTAGGCTGTTGGTGGCATTGAGCCAGACATCGGCCGTGGTAGCTGGTTCGGGGGTGCTTGGCCGCACGGAAGGTGATGTCAAGAAGCAGAGAACTCTTGCACATGGTGTATTGTTTTTCCCGTTTCCATTGATCTAGTCCCGGTGATCACCTCCCAATGTGAAGTCACTCACGGAGGATTCAGACAATTCAATCCACTGAGCACATCTAGCCTGCCTGATTTGGACTACAATTGGATGTATCTGGAGACGATTGGTGGGAAATGGGCAGAAAGTTTGAGCTCCCAAGGGGGACGGCGGACGGGAGGCGTCCTCCGAAACGGGCAGAAATGGTGGGGAATCCCTGGCGTTTGGGTGATATTGAAGGGGCAGAGGACGGGGCCACTCGGGGCCGGGGTGTGGTGGACTCACGGCGGGCGGCGGAGGATTTTTGTTTCTCAGGTTGATGATGGTGGTCGGAGAGTTGTTTTGGAGTTACATGGTGGACATCAGCTTTGTTTGTGAGATACGAGTGCGCAGAGTGAGAGGCTGTTCTTTGCTTGCAAGGAGGCCATAGGTAAAGTAATAAAGTGGAATGGGTTAAAGGAAGGTGCTCTTCGGCCTTGCGCATGTCCCGTTCCCATACTACGTACGAATACCCGGTACACACCTATGGTGGTAAATCTACGTAGTACAAAGTGAGATGCTGGATCAAGGTTGGATAGGAATGCTACTCTTCATCATTCGGCCGATGACTTTCCCACCTGTCAGATGCCATTCTCGATAGTGTCATACATGAGTTGTACAGGTCTGTGATGCGACAATCGTGAAAACCAATAGCCTACAAGAATGAGAGCCGATGACTTGAGCGCCCTTCTCTCGTGACTTGGCTTTACGTTTTGACAGTCACGACCGGAATGACAGCCTGAAGGGGTAATAGGGGACCAAATCGCTGTGAACACGACACACTTCATCATCGTCTCATCGACGCGTTCTTGCGATGAGTAAGACCCCAAGCCATCACCTCAGGCGGCAAGCCTCTTACATCAAGGGTTACCCTTCAGATTCCGCCATGAGGGTTTTCATCACACCTTACCTGCGTGCCTGCCATCCGATCTCACTTCAGACATTGTGGCCAGTAAATGTGGCTCATTCGAATTTGTGGCTGAGCAAGACTTTTTTTATTCCGACAACCTTCGGAATCTCACGCAATCTGGTCAACCTTGACTCGTTTGGTGAGATATGAGTGAGTGCGGCGATTGGCCTTTTCGCCGAAAAAGCTTTTTTCACCTTGGGCATTTGCTTGGCAAAATCGGACAGCTCGTGCCGGGGGAAGCTTGGGGACCGTCTTGGCCCAGGCGAGTGAAACGGCAGCATGGCAATTGGAGCGCTGAGAGGCGCTAGGAAATCCCCAAAGCAACAGCTGAGAGACTACTTCGTACGGATTCATAGGTGGTAGTATTACCGTGGCTAGAGCCTGGGAGCGGCGATGTCGGAGGCAGGGGAGACGTTGCGGTCAAAGATGGCAATGCGGAAAAAAAACCTTTGCTTCCTCAAATGCGCTGCGGTCACGCGCCGTTTGCGTGAGTCACGTGGCTGAAAGATGTTGAAGCTCTCGACCGACTCAGTTTCCCTTGCACGTACGCACACGCACGACAGGTTGGTGTGGTTGGTTGGGGTAGTGAGACTGAGACAGCATAAAGCGGGTGAGGAAGCTGGGGCACGTGTTCTTCAGACTTGGGTATGTCGATCTCTCAGGCACAAGAAACAGGACTGAATGCTCTACTGAGTAAATTGTTGAGAATTGACTGTGTTGACCGAGGCTACTATTCGATATCCATAGTTAAAGGGCTTGAATGACAGATTGATGCCTCCGCTTAAAATCTATAGCTAGAGCTGATATGCGGCTGGACGATGTTATTCATGGCAGGACGAAAAGCGTCGTACGGATGCAGTGCGAGGTAGCTCTGTGCCTGCCTCTGAGCTTCACCAGAGCATTGCAGAGCTGACGGTTGTGATGAGGGATCCTCAGCGGCTGACAGAGTTTATTCATCGGAAGTTCCTGAACTCATGAGCCAGGTCTTTTCCGGGCGGTTTCCATTGATTACTTTACTTCAAGGTTGGGTAATGGGTAAGCGCAACCTGCCGGTGATAACGGCCTTTGCCGGTCAACCATTCGCACATCGCCTACCCCTCACCTCGGCACTTGACGCCGTGAAATACATCGTAGGTTTTGGAGAAAACTGCCTCTGATTGCTGAAATATCTGCCAATGCATACTTTTGTATCAAATTTGAGAAATAAAAATATCAGAGAAACAGAGGATAGTATAATATGAGCAATTACTTATCATTACTGACAAGGTAGGAAGCCCCGAAGACGGAGATGCCGGGCCTGGAGCAATTCCGCAATGGTACCGGTCTTTCTCCGATGTGGCCGACGTACAGCCCCGCCAATCACAGAGTATCCCGCGGCGGGGTGTTTGGATGACTAAACCTAAGGTACTGTGTAAGGTACCTTACCGTCCAGGTAGGCAGCCCCGCTAACCCCTCGATGCGAAGCACCTGCGTCCCGCCTGCACCACCAACTGCGACGAAGGCCGTAACGCCGCACTGCCGCAACGCTGTCCCACGCACCCACGCACTTCCCTCTCCCACTTCCAGTCGAATCTCCCACTTCATTCCCTCCCCCCCGGCCTTTGCGCTTGTTCAGAACGAAAAGGAGATATTTTACCCCCCCAGAGGAAGGACAGTCTCAGTGTCATTCTTAACCTTAGTCACGCAATCCCCGTCCGGAACACAGAAACTCCAAAACACACCCCTCAGCAACCAGAAACGTCCTTTTTACCGTCATCCCAAGAAAAACTTCCAAGATCACTGTTCAATTACTCTGACCAACGTCAACAATTCAACAAAAGGAAACAAAGGTACGTTTTTTATCGCATCCCCTATTTTGTCTACCATCGCTGCATGACGTACTTGGCGCAAGGCTGATCAATTCCACCTCTTCTTTTTCTTCACAGGCAGATCCCGTCATTCTCCGTCCCCCGTCCCCTTCCGCCCGCTGCTGCCTTTGGCCCAGGCACCGACCGAACCGATAGCCGCATTCCGAGACACCGAACCCCTCAAGGAACATCACGGAGCCCTCGCCGACCTTCCCTTAGCTCTCCCCGCCCTATCCATAGTCGATACCCATTCTCTCCTCTCACAGGACCTCCTACCGTGCAACCTCGTCATCCGACCGACGACCGACGACAGAGACCCAGCAACCCAAGGGAACAGAACGAAAAGTTGATGAGAGCTGGTTTTCGGCTTTTCTCACCCCCAGCCTACTACCACCGTCCGCCGACCCCTCCTCTCCGGCGTCTCAGCACGCCGCGCAGCAACAACCCCTTCGCCGCGTCCATCACCGCCGCCGCCCGCCCGCGAACCCTCACAATGGTCGCCACTCCGGAGGAAATCGAGGCCATGGCACCCCCCGGCTACTCCTTCCCGGAGCACCGCCTCCGCCTCCAGCAATCCGAACCCGACCGCGAGCCCCTCGTCCTCGTCGCTCCCGGCTCCTACAGCCCCATCACCTTCCTCCACCTGCGCATGGCCGTCATGGCCGCAGACTACGTCCGCTACAACACAAACTTTGAGCTCATCGGCTCCTACCTCTCCCCCGTCTCCGACGCCTACAAGAAGCGCGGCCTCGCACCCGCCTGCCACCGCCGCCGCATGTGCGAGATCGCCGCTGAGCAGACCTCGCGCTTCCTCATGGTCGACCCCTGGGAGGCCGAGCAGACGGCCTACGTGCCCACCGCCCTCGTCCTCGACCACTTCGAGCACGAGATCAACGTCAAGCGCGGCGGCTGCAACGGTAAGCGCGTGCGTATTGCCGTGCTTGCTGGCGCCGACCTGATTAACACGATGAGTCAGCCCGGCGTCTGGTCGCCTTCTGATTTGAGACATATCCTGGGCGACTTTGGTGCTTTCGTGCTCGAGAGGGCTGGTGTGAACATTGACGAGGCACTCGGTAATCTTAAGGAGTACGAGGACCAGATCTACTACATTCCACAAGTCGTTCCCAACGATGTTTCCAGTACCAAAATTCGATTGTTGCTGAGGAGGAATATGAGCATTGACTACGTGAGTTTTCCAAAAGCATTGCAAACGTCTTGAGGCAACCAACAGCTAATATATCTCTAGCTCATTCCTGCTGAAGTCATCAAGTACATCGACGAGCACGGCCTCTACAACGAAGATGACACAGCAACGAACGAGAAGGGAAAGGAGAAGGAAGTGCAATGAGAATGATTTTCGATTTCTTCTAAAACGCTGAACGAAACGTATTTCGGACAAACGCCCCATGGGAGTTTGTAGAAGAAGAAAAAGGGGAGAGAGCGAGACAGACAGCTGCGAGAAGCGAGGGACATGATCCCAGATCCAGACGAGACAGAAAGATTAAAGAGCAAAGAGGAGGAGAAGCAGGGGCCAACTGGCGTGGTTATCAGCGTTTGGGTTTTATGAGACGACGGCACAAAGTCTATCCATTTCATTAACTGTTATTTTTTTTTCATGGGTTTAATTAGGTGCATAGGGCGGGCTTTGTTAAGAAGAGCGAGATATCTATATCTTGAACTACAGGGACTTCTCCCAATGAACAATCAAAGAGTCTGCATCCCCTCGTCGGGGCCGTTGAAGCCTACTTCGTTTTCTACCACGTCATTGACTATCGAAGTCTTGAATCATGATATCTAGTATCTGGCGGTTAGGATCCTGAAGAAGGGTGTTCACGGCAGGGCGGACTTGCACAAGACCGCCGGAAGTAGACAACAGCGCTACATTTCCATGTATAAGCGACTGATCAAGAGCTTCGATAGGTGGCTGTCATGGTTTGATGGGTATGACAGGCTTAGAATTGGTTTTCAACTGCCAAAGAGGCACTTCAAAGGTGCTATCAACAGTCTATCTGAACCAGACCACCCTCTCCACAACCGCTGACAAAGTCGCCAAGCCCTTAAGACGGGGCCCAATGTACGCATCCATACACATCGTCTCTCTTTTGTGGCTTCTACTATCATAAGGTATGATGGCCAGTTGTCCCGAAACTTCCTGTTCTGTGATTCGGATCGCGCTCTTATCGTTGAGATACCTGACAATATCTATGATGGCAGGCCAGCTGCTGAGACTCCTTAGGTTATCAGGCTTCCAGTCATAGTTTGCGTTTATCTTCAGGTTCCATGATGCCAAGAAGCATAAAGTCACCCCGTTTGAGCTCGAATTTAGAACCAAAGTACCTAGGCGTGAGCTCATGGACACAGATGTTCCCTATCATGGACAGCTGACAGAGGGTGTAAGTGCCGTTCTCGGTCGTGAAGCGGCAGTCTATGCCGTCGTCGGAGCGTAGCGAGGCTTGCAGACTACATTCATTCTCGAACCGGAACAATGACTTCAAGTACTCGTCAATGGGGGGGTGTGGTGCCTTGCCAAGAGCCAGAACTCTCCAGGGATTCTCTCAGCCCTTCATTTTGTTCTGGAAGATAACCTGTATGCGGTCGGCAACATGTTCTGGGAATATCGATGCTGGCGGCTCGCCGGAGGAAAGCCCTGTCATGTTGATAGATCAGGAACTCGATCTGCAGGTATTCTCCAGGTGGTGACTAGAGCCGCCACAACGGAGGTCATCCAGGATGCTGGTGATTCTAGGGAAGTCGCGGTCATTGCTCCTTGCGGGCGCGCCTGGGTCGGAGATGTCATCGGGGACATTCTTCTTGCTTTTTCTGTCCGTGTAGCCCAGCGTCACATGGGCGGACTCTGTGCCAACGTCAATGACGAGTTCTTTAAGTAGCTGTCTTAGCTTCCGAAAAAGAGGATACCAATATCGGCTTCAATCTGCGGAACATTGGACCAGTTCTGACAGGCCTAGGATAGACGCCCAAATTAATAAGGAGACCGGCCATGGCCATAATTCATCAGATCGACAACGAAAAGATGATTGTCGACAAAGCCCGGGACCCTTCTGAGAAGGCAGACGAAGGCGTTGCCGCGTTGGTGATAGAGAAAGGGCGAATTTTGGCGTTGTCTGTAGGCTTCATTGATGAAAGGAACTATTACTGCGTAACAGGAACAGAATTTGAAGGCTTCTGAAGACTTTCTTCTCGGAAGAAACAATGAACCTCTTTTCAGCAAGAGTCAAAGGTTTAAGAACACCTCTTGTTAGTGACAATATCGGTTTGTTTGCAAGGTTGCAAAGAACGTGATGGATATGAAGCTAGGGTGTTCAAAGAGAGGAACGGTAGGGACTCTCTTCAAACGCTTTCTTTTAGATGGGAAATTCCGTTGAATCTGGTTCACTTCATTAAGGAGTATACGAAAGATGGCAAGACGAGGGCATTCGACGTCAAGGGCTTGCGGCTGTGTGTCCGTGACCCGTAAAGTCTTCGAAGAAAAGTGAAGAAGTAAGGGGGGCAGATCCACTCAGATAAAGGTCACTCTCATATTTAATACATTAAAACGGAGGAGGGTATCTTTGTGGCGTAGCTAGGGTAGTTAGAAGTAGGTGAATTGAGTGTGTCGAATATGACGCCCATTAGACATAGTGGACAACTCCCTGATTTACCCAGTGAGATTCTTGCGATAATTGTAAATGTTTGCTATCGGAAAGCTCTGGAAGAGTCATCTCGATTCTCTTGTCTACATAGCTTATCATGAGTGACTTCGAGTATACGGAGACATTTGTTCTTTTCGAATCAGGTTCACGGTAGATATGGGAGGTAGACCTTGAACAACTAGAAGCAACAGAACCCCTTCTCAAGTCACTGAAATCATCATGAGAATTATATTACGCATGCCTCTTAGAATTGAAGGAATATTTGACTTTGGGCGTAGTCTGATGACCCATCTTGCCCTCTCTGTATCTTGGGAGCCGAATACCGGAGACCAATATCAGCTTCACAAGCGCTTCGAACCAAACAAGTGACCACAACATGGTCGTCTCATGAAGCCTGTGACCAATTCCAGATAGGTCTATACTTATTGAGTGCTATTTTCTAGACTAACAGTTTGCAGAACATGCTTCAAGCCCGTTTCTTGATGTGCGTTCTGTCATATTTTCAAGATGGCCCTTGGCACTAAGTAATCTTCTACTTAAAGCTTCCCGAAATGCTCATGATTTAAACAGTCATGAATTTCTCAGAACTGCAGGATTTGAAACAGCTTATTATCATAGCTCTGTAGAGTTGTAAAATTCAGCGAGGAGGGCTACTGTTCATAGGTCCAGGGTTGCGAGTTTGCGCAATTTGCAATTACGGTGTAGCCATACTGCTACGACTTCTAAACCCAAGTGAATTCTAGACACAACTCTTCCACGGGAGAGCACGAGTTATTCAAAACGTTTATACGAACTGGAAACATTCGATTTTCCATAACCGCGTCTTGTAGCGTAAGTGAATCTTGCCGTAGAATCCTGGCAACTTTTGAGACCGAATGCGAAAATGGTATTCTCATATTTCCAAAGCCGGAAACGACGCAACATCATGACATTGACAAATTGATGTGAAAGGTGATCCTAATCGAATGATCATATGGGCCATTAAAGCCACAAATCACACACACCGCGCCAGAGCATGAACTCATAGGTGATTTTTTGAGTTCAGCCAAGGCATCTCACACGGCTTTTCAGGGTCCAGTATGAGAATGCTCCCTAGTTTCCGTTCTCGTCATCATCAACGTCCAAATGCTCGTAACTCCCAAACTAGTAAGCGTCAAAATCCACCAAACCCATCACGCAATATCTCCAAATCGGCCCCAAACCTAAAGACCACATGCAGACGCAAGACCGGGGGGAAACCTCGAGCCAATTGAAACTTCTACCACCCACTGTCTCAAGAAACTTAGGAGTTGAGTCCGCCGGGCAGAATTGACTTTCCACTGGACCCCTTCACACAGAATCGTACATCCAGTAAAGATCCCCAGGAGCCTGCCAAGCGGACAACACGCACATTGGCACATGCAAGACGCAGGCCCAAAGTATAATAACCCAAAGGCGTCAGCATGACCCCCCTAGCTACCTCATACTAAACATGCTCATCCTCTTGCTGTTTGCCAGCATCGAACCCTTGGGACCCCTTTCTCCAAACCATGGGGAGGGAGTGTAGTCGTCATGAAAGAATACCGCTACACCACCACATTAACCCTCCGGTTCGAAGATGTCTCACTCATCTCACCCTGCTCTGTTGGATGAGGGACAGCGTATAATATTCTCCCTTCGTTCTGACTGAACGTGGGCAGTCTTGATCTCGTCTCAGCGTGGGAAAACTCAACCATGAAACTCACTCCAGTCACTCAAACCATCAAGTTTGAAGTCCCGCGCGCTTATCCCACATTTTCATGACGCGTATCACCGGGAAAGCAAACTGAACCTAGATGCCGATGATAACACCGACCAGCCAGCCAAGCCGTAAGGAAAACCTACTCGAAGCCATCGATCCCACTAACGACAACACCTCCAGAACATGCAGGCGCGATATACGCAGACAAGAGAAAACATATATCTCGTGTTTGAAGGGGCTTCACTCGCGACACCCTTGACGCCGTTGACGCTTCTCCAGAGGTAGGAAGATCGTTGCCTACAACAATCGTAAAGTTTCCCTCTGCATATGGCGGAGATGGGGGGAAGTCGACTTGGAAACCCCGATATCTAACTCCCATGGAACCGCCTGGGTGAAATCCTCCGAAGAGAGAATACACACAAACAGTCATGGAGTAAAGCTGCTAAATTGCTTGTCTTCTATTTACCCACCTGGGTCACCACCAGCTTTGGGCTCAGACTCTCAGCTGAGTCAAGCTTTTGAAAACCCATTGAGCCATTACCACGTTGGAAGACCGTTCAACGTTGCACTTGCGACTCAATACCAGGCTTTTCCCATTTGAAAACCGGAAAGATCCGTACGGGTTAGCTCGTTACGATTTGCAAAACTTGCAATAAAACTTTCAACTCTCCACAGGGGAGGGCACGTACGACTGTATGAATCCGGGAAACCCTCAAAGAGTCGAAGGTACTCGTATCGCGGAGCTGGGAATCGGAACTCCGGCCTCCATATACTCTCCTGATAAGTAGTACCTGGGAAAATCCACGTGGGGTCATGAGATTGCCATTGAAGAGATTTCCCAGTTTCTTTATTCTCCATGGTTACGCGGGGCCGACGCGAATCTCACGCAAACGCCAGAATTTCAACGCGTTCCTTCTAGGGGATCCATTTCTTTTTGGCTCAAAAATTGGATCTTCACCTGTAGTCTGTATCCGTACTCTGTTCGAACAGGAATTACTGGGGTCCGGTTCAGCAAAATCCCGGAGGGCTTCCTAGCAAAGTAGATGTCTGCACGTGAGATACTTTTTACAGATAGTGCCTTGCCGCCCCCGACCGCCGAGAAAGAATCCGAGGCGGCGAATGCTTTGGGTCGGGAAGCGGCGAGCAAGTACACGTTGTTGGTGGGGTGGCACTGAGGAGCTGGTCACGATCCGAGGTTGACGTTGCGACGTCCCTTGGCGGGCAGAAACGCTCAACTTACCGTGCGTACTTACTCACCTCGTGGCAATGGAAGAAAAACGAGCCGAAAGCAGAAAAAGCCAAGCCAATGTGCAACAAGGCGGCGCCACAGCACCGGACGGCA